GGCCCCAGCAGAGTCGTATGGCTTGTCAGACTTAGATCTTTCCCTCCCTCCCTCCCTCCCTCCCTCCCTTCTTTCCTCTCTCTTTCATATTCCTCTCTCCCTCCCCCCTTCCTTCCTTTTGGTTTTGTTCACTGAAAAAGAGTCGCATATAAGCAGTGAGCGGACTGGAAGGGGAGGCCGCCTTGCCCTCCCGCCCCGCCCGCCCCGGCCCAGCATCGGCAGCGGGCCGCCTGCCCGTCTTTTCTCTGCGCGTTCACGCCTGTGTGGATGGGCCTGCGCAGGCCTGGTCCTCTCGCCCCCACCTTGGTTTTCGGAAGTCTTCCTGGCTCGTTACCCGCATGGACTCTGCGTGTTTTGGGCAGCAAGGCAGTACTTCCTAGCAAAGCCAATGCCACCGCCTGCATCAATGTGACCAGCACGGTGACCTGGGAGCTGCAGGGGACCTCGAGGACGCGTGTGTGTCCTTGCCCTGTTCAAATCTGCTCTGCTCCGAGGGCTTTTTCCCGGCCCCTGACCGGGGGACATCTGAGGCATCCACGCCATTTCTGGTCACTCCCAGTTACAAAAGACCATCTGGGAGCACTAGTTATTACGTCCAATCCAGCACGGTGGTCCAAACTTCCCGCCTCATCGGGAAAAAGTTTCTTCCTTCCCCCATCGGCAGCTTAGCAGGAAGGGGCAGGGAGTGAGCCACTCTCTGTGACCCCTGCCTGCCCCTGCCCTCAGCTCCAGGGTGGGCGAGGGACATTCCAATAGACAAGCCGTCATGGTCCTGATTTGCCTTTCTCTAATGGCCGGGGATGCTGACGGTTTCTTCCTGTGCTTATTTGCCGTCCACACGTCCCCTTAGATAAAACGTCTCCTCGTGTCTCTCTCTCTCATTTTCTAGTTGCATTGTTTGTTTGTTTCTGCTGAGTTCTGAGAGTTCTTCACGTCCTCTCGATAGGAGTCCTTTGCCAGACACATGGTTTGCAAATATTTCCTCCCAGTCAGTGCTTAGTCTTTTCATCTCAAGAGACCCTCTCACAGAGCAACAGCTCTTAATTTTGAGGAGGTCCAATTTATCTATTTTTTTCTCTTGCGGCTCACGCTTCTGGTGTCAAGTCTTAGAACTCGTCACCTAGCCTAACGCTGGCTCCCTAAGATTTTCTCCTTCATTTTGCTTAAAAGTTTCTTAGTTTTACATCCTACATCGAAATCTATGAGCCGTTTTGCGTTCGTCCCTGCATGACGTGGGAGACAGGGGGGAGGGGGTTGCTCTTCGCCTGTGCCCGGGAGCCCCAGTTTTTCCAACACCGTTTATTGAAAACACTGTCCTTCCTCCATCGAGCTGCATTTCTATCAGTTCACTTCCTTTAACTCATCGTAACTCATACCCAGTTTGTCAGCTATTTTCCTGCTGGGAGTGCCTCCCTGCCTCCTCCCAGGCGAGAGGAGCCGCTGGCCGGTGCAGGACACGCAGCCCGCGGACGCGGCTGCGGGGGACGGCGAGGAGGTTGGCTCCGACGTGTGCAGCGGGGGCGGCCGGGAAGGTAGCTTCTCTCTTGCGAAGGCCTCGTTGGGTAAATACTGCCAGATCACGCATCCGGCGCCGCTAGAAAGAGTGGCTTTCCAATAGACGGCTCAGAAGCATGGGGCGTGTAATAATTAAGTAGTAACAGTCGTCACAGGGGCGAAGGAACAGGAAACCAAAGAGCCCCTGTGTGTAGACGTGGCGCAGGCTGCCCCCTGAAGAGGTCTCTTAGCACAGGGGACATTTCAAAGCCCAGAACCTCCACCCAAACGGAATCCCAGGTTGGCCCGTCCCTAAGAGGGTCTGTGTGGTGAAGACTTTGAAGACCCCCGTGTGCAATGCCCGAGGCTTGATCTCAGGTCCCGGCTGCACAGCCTTGGGGCTCACTTCTCAGCACCCTATTTCCTCAGGCCGCCTGTGAAATGAGGTCACAGGGGAAGGTCTGAGGCTCTTAACCTTTCCCGGGGCCCACACGCCCCTGAAAATGTGTCTCAGGCTGCGGACCACACCCCTCCCCCGCCGTGCACACCTGCTGAGAAACGCTGTCTGCACCTTTGTGGGACCCCGGGGGCCTAAGGGTCGGGGCAGATGACCTCTGAGGCCTCAAGGGTGGGTCCTGGACCAGGCACCTCCAGACCCAAGGACCCAGACGTGCCTCTAGCAAGGTCCCCCGTGGCCCGTGCACACAGGAGAGCTCGCAAACCGCTGCCCTGAGGTTCTGGCAGCCGCAAAGAGCTCTGAGAACGCCAGGCCCGGGGCCCGCTCTGAGCAGCACCCGTCTGCACAGCAGCTTCCACGGGTGTTTCCCAAAGCGTGGGCCGAGGAACCCCCGTGTGAGCATTTCCTGGGTCTGCCGTACCAAACCGCCACAACCGGTGGCTGAAGACAACGGAAATGCATCCTCTCCCAGGTCCCGAGGCCGGAAGTTTAAAATCGAGGCACGCCCCCTCTGGAGGCTCGAGGGGAGACTCTTCCCTGACGCTTCTCTTCCAGCTCCTGGGGGCCCAGGCGCCCCCCGCCAATGGCAGCTGCACACCCATCTCTGCCTCCGTCTTCACAGCGCCCTCCTCCCTCCGTGTCTCTTCCAGGGACACGTCATTGCGCTCGGGGCCCACCCTAAAAAGCATTCACGTAATTATCTATCCCATCTTGAGATCCCTAACTTGATCCTATCTGCAAACACTCTTTTTCCAAAAAAAGTCCTATTTACAAGGTTCTGAGGATGGAAACATATCTTTTCAGGGGGGCCCCTATTGGCCCCCAGTACATGCTGTATCAGAACTCCTTCCTATATTTGCTAACCATGCAATTCCTTGGGCCCCTCCCACTTCCTGAATCAGACCTCGGGGTGCGGGGCCCAGGCCCTGCCCAGAGAAGGGACTGGAGCGCAGTGGTGGCCGGTGACCACGCGGCTCAGGGTCCGGGGGGCGGGGGTCAGGGTGGCGTGAATGGGGGACATACGGGGCTTTCTTCACTGTTTTTTTTTCCTTTTTCTCTATTTTCCTTCTTATTATGAACATTTTCAAATACGCAGGACCGTGGAGCCCAGAGGATAATCCGCTCCCGTGGTCTGCCCCCTCTCCCAGCTCCCAGCACTAGCAACACATCCGGCCACTCTTGTCTCGTCTTAATTTACGTCACTTTATTCTACTGTGCTTGATTTTTTTTGCTGGAGTTTCTTTTTTAAAGAAAATCCTAAACAACATACCGAGTCACCCACAGACCCTTCAGGGTGCACCTCTAACAAAGGTTTAAAACAAATAACCACAATATCATTATCGCACGCGATACAACTTGCACTGTTTCCTCGCGGCTTCCACACCTCGGCTGGTGCTCAGCGTTCCCCGGTTGCCACAGGGCACCTTCCCACTCTCGGTTTGTTAGACTCAGGCTCCGGACGAGGTCCATATACCGCATTTAGCTGACGTGTTTCTTAAGTCACTTTTAATCCATGCCACTTCCTCATCCCCTCTTCTCTTCGATGCTCTTTGTGTGCTGAAGTGACCGAGCCACTGGTCCAGTGGAACGTCCCACACTCCGGACTTGGCAGACAGCTCCCTCGTGGGGGGTGCCCACCGCCTCCTGTCCCGTGGGCGGTGGCTCCCAGCACCGGGAATGGGGTCCGTGCCACTGAGGAACCGAGGTTCCCGTTTTATGTATTTCAACTAATTTAAATTCAGGTTTAAAAACTGGATCTTCTAAATATCTCATTAATATTTTAAAGGGATTCCATGTTGACATGATAATATTTTGGATACATTAGTAAAATTAATTTCTGTCTCTTTGTACTCTTTTTAACAAGGCTACTGAAAAGTTTTTAGTTGCATGTGGCTCCTGTAAGAGTGTTCAACCTCGGGTTCACTTTGGGTACTTTCCCCCCCAAATACTGGGAGGGCGGCGCTGCCTAGGTCCTGCTGCGTCCCTTCCGCGGTCTGTTCGCCACCTTAGTGATGACGAGATCGAAAGCTGGAGCAAACTTCATGTATATTTTACCACAATAAAAAAAAAATTGGTTGTTTGGCTCCGCTGCGGGGGCCAGGCCCATCCCCTGTGAAGCCCCCCATCCGCCTGCCACTCCACCGCGTTAGCAGCCACAGCCACGGACAGTGATGCCCGGCAGGCAGGGTTGCGTGGGGAGCTGTGAGGGGGCGAGTCCCGTCCCCCGTTCGCCTCCCCCCCGCATCCGTTTGCGCTGGTTCTCCCGTCCGACCTCGCTCCCCTCTCCTGTTTGGGTACCGCAAGCAGGCCTCGCTCACAGCGCTGTCCCCGCTGCTCCGGGACCTTACCCCTTGGTCTCCGGGAGGGCGTGGCAGCAGAACCTGCGTTCCAGCGTTGGGGGGCGGGGCACACAGAGCTCTGCACAGGATAAGTGCGCCTCGGCCGGGACCTCTGCTCAGAGAGGCCCCGAGCGGGTCCTGGAGGCGATAAGACAGATTTTGTCCCCTGCCTTTGCGGCAGGGGAGAGTGACTTCGCGACGGGACAGGAGCCAGCTCAGCCTGAACACAGCCTGGGGGGGACGGGTAGCCCGGGAGCAGAGTGCAGGGTCAGCGGGCGGAGAACTACTGAGCGGGCACGTCGAGGGCGAGGGGGTGCCTGCTAAGCTGACTAAAGGCGGCCAGGCCGGCCGGGCAGCGCAGTGGGGGACTGGCCTCGCAGGTTCTCTGCGAAGACTGGCTTCAGGGGCCCGAGGACGAGGCCTAGTCGAAAAGAGGGTGCCAAGAAGCCTATCTCAATTTTGGTCAAGGGGACCATGCTTGTCACCCTCTCAGGCCCAGCCCTTGGCTGGTGGCCACCAGCATTTGTTGACCAACTCACACGAGGCGCCTGCTGTGTCCCCAGCTTTCGAAGCTGGGGGAGCCTCCCCCTGCCCTGGGAGATGGGGTTCACCCTGGGTTCACCCCGCAGCCGGGCGGTCAGGCGGGAGGCCTGCGGGAGGTGCCAGGGCCCTTCCAAGGCCTCAAGGCCGCCTGCACCCCCCGCCCGCAGGCCTTCCACGCCCCTCTTTGACCTGCTGCAGCACCGGTACGGGCAGCTATGGGTGCAGGAACAGAAGGCCACCCAGAAAGCCATCAAACTGGAGAAAAAGCACAAGGTAAAGGTGGCTGACTGTCGGTGGGCAGGGCGCGGAGCTGGGAAGGGCCCGGGCTATGCTTTGAGACTGAGCTCTGTGCACGTTTGTCCCTGGGGGGGTAGCGGGGGGGAATTGGGCTGCCCCTCGCTGTGCCAACCGGGCATCACAGACAGAGCCAGAGAGGGTCTTGACCATCAGATTCCTCCCCCACTTAAGCCCCAAGAGGGGGCTATCCTGGCTGGGGCCCCCGTGAAGAAAAGGCTAAGAAGGCAAAGGGGACAGAGAAAACCACTTCTGGGCAGGCGCATGGAGAACACAGTTGTTGCACTTTAGGAACACCCTTTGTTTCAAATTAACGGCTCAGCTCCACGCCAAAACACTTTGTGTACCTCATATGCACCATGCCATCGACGCCTCGCAAAAGCCCGGGAGGTAGGTATGACTGACCCCGCTTTCCAGGCATGGAAATCAAGCTCGGAGAGGCAGGCGGCGCCCACACAGGGGACGTGGAGCTAGGGACAGGCCACGCCCAGGCACTGCCCATTTCGATGGCATGGGAGGCGGCAGAAGGAGGCCGGTCATCTTAAGATCAGCATGGCTTTGTGTACACTTGGCGCCGTAGAGCGTCTGTCGAGGCAGGACCTGGGTGTCTCCGGTTGTCGGGACAATCACAGCCACCGTCCCTCCGCCCGCCCCCTGCTGAGAACGGGGCGAGCACGCACCCACCTTCCCGCCCGCTGTCCTGCGCACCCCGTGAGTTGGCTTCTCCTCAGCTCATCTCAGCGCGTTTCACCTTCAGACAGGGAAACCGAGGTTCTGAGAGTGAGCGAGGGGCTGAAGCGCCAGAGCAGGCCTGGGCCCGGCTGCGTCCCCCCAGAGCCCGGGCTTTTCCCGAAGGCGGGGTCCCGCTCCTGCTGATTCCAGGGAAGTCCGGGGTTCCGCGACAGAGCCCACAGGGGAGTCTGACCCGGGACCCCGCTGCCCCCAGGCCAGGCCAGGAGAGGCCCCAAGGCCCAGAGGGCCCCGGTCGCCCAGGGAGCCAAGGCCCCTCCTAGCTGTCCCCAGCCGTCAGTAGCATCCAAGACGCCCACTCATTAAGGAGCAGAGCGTGGTAATAACACCCTAAAAGCGGCCTGTGGCTGGTGTACTTGTTCACGGCTCAAGAAAGCCAGCTCGCCGTGGCAACGACCCATTTCAGAGGGAGCACCTGCCGCCACGAGCTGCTTTATGGCCCCACGTGCACGCCGTGCATCTTACTGAGCAACTATTTACGGCAACTCAGAGTGTTGCAAATCCACAGAACCCCCTGCCTCCCAGGACCCAACCTCTGACTCTCGAGGCGATCCCGTAGCCAGCGCCCCTCCTTTTTGAGCAACGCGTCCCCAGAAGCAGCTACCGTGAGTGGCTCCGCCCCAAGCTCTGGTTGGGAGCCAGTGCCCAGGGGTGTGACTTCGAAGGAGTCGTCATTTTGTTGGGGTCTCGGTTGTTTCACTGGGCGGAAAAGGGGGTCACGTTAAATGAGGTCCCCTGTGCTGTGCCCAGCACATAGCTGGCACTCAGCAAACACTGTGAACTAAACCCAAAGTTCCTGTCCTCTTCCAAGATTCTGCGTGGCTGCCACGGTGTCAAACAAACGGCTGCGAACACCCAGCCCCACCAGACACTGGGGGCTGCCGTCTGGGTCGACACACAATTCACGAGAGGCGACAAGACTTGCCTGTGTCCCTCCGATGAACCCCGGGCAGCATCGCCCCTCTGCTTTGGTTCAAAGATGAAGTTTCAGAATTGTTCTAGAAGGCACAGAGGATAAACGGTCCAAAGAGCTTCCACAGACACATTCACTAAATAAAATCAACGTAATTGATTAACAACATTAATCAAAAGGGGTTCGATGGGGTGGCGGCATCTCCAGGTAAAGTCGGCCCGGCACCCACATGTCGAGGGTGCGGGGCGCCGCCTGCGTGCCTCGGGCAAGGGAGCGGCTGCTGCGGGGGACCTGGAAGTTCGGGCTCTGCCCACAGAGGAAGCTGTCCTGATGGGCAGGTGTAAACCCCGGTGAAACCGGGCAGACCAGGTTTCGAGGGGCCTGGAACTTCACCACTTTGGGGGTCCTGTTTAAGAGTCTAGGTAGAGAGTCCCCGTGTACCTGTTGACGCCCCAGGGAGTCTTGCGTTTTGGTGAGGATCGCAGCCACGGGCCAAGGTCGGCCCGCACGCAGCTCCCCGGGGCCGCACTGAAACCGCAGAGCCCAGGGCCCCTGTCCTGCCGACTCGGCAGTCGGAGACCCGGACCCCACGTTCGCCCGCTCGGGCTTCCGTAACAAATGCCACAGGCTGGGCAGCTTGACCGCCAGAGCTCCATTGTCTGGCAGTTCCAGAGGCTGGAAGTTCAAGGTCAGGGTGGAGGCAGGGCTGGTTTCCCCTGGGGTCTCCCTCCCCGCCTTGTGGAGAGCAGACTTGTCAGGGTGTCCTCGCCTGGCCTTCTCTCTGTGTGACATGCCTGGGGCACCCCCTTCTCGTGAAGACACCAGCTCTAGCTTCCTGCGACCCCGCCCCCACGGCCCCACGCAGCCTTAAGAACCTGCCTAAGTGCCCTGTCTGCAAACACAGTCCTGTGGCGGATTAGGGCTCCTCCATGTGACTTTGGGAGGGATGCAGCTCCGGCCACAGCACCCTGTGAGCTCTGGGACCCTGTAACGTGCTGGCTGGCGCCTCTCAGTGGCACGAGGCACGCAGTTCAGGGGGCAGTCGCACCCGCAGAGACTTTGCAGGCTCTGAGCTGAACCGCTCAGACCCTCCCAAAAGAAGCCCCCCTCCGCCGCCTCTTCCGAGAGTGGGCCCGCGTGGCACCTGCCCCCGACAAGCGCCCACGGTCCCTCATTCGAGCCCTGCGGGGTCCCTCCTCACTGTCAGGGCTTCGTGTGCCACAGGGGAAATGACAAGAGTGCCCGGGACACCGTTCCTGTCCTCGAGGCCGCTGCATGCCGGAGCCCCGCGTGTTCCAAGGAGGCACCAGACACCGGGCGCCTCCGCGGTGCCCCCTCGGAGCCCGCTGAGCTGTGGCCAGGGCGCGGGCGCCAGCACCGGCGCTGTGGGATCAGGCTCGACAGAGCGCTGGGTGCGGGAGAAACGTGGGCTGCAGGGCTGTGCTCCGGGCACCCCAGCCCTCTGACCTCACGTCCCCGGGGCACAGTGCCGCTTGTCCCGGGAGCCAGGTGACCATCTGGCCCTGCCTTCCTCCGCCTGCAGATGGTCCTCGGGAAGCTCTACGAGACCCGCAGCAGCCAGCTGAGGAAGTACAGGCCGCCTGTGACACCGGATGCCCTCTGGCACTTGCCTCACTTCCAGAAGGTCAGCCCCACACCCCCTGCCCCCCTGCCCTGCCCCGCAGCGGCCGCCCTCCTTGCCCACCTCTGCCTGTCCCCTGGAGGGCTGAGCCCCTCGGCCGCCACCCTCCCAGGCACCCAGCAGGCACAGCGACACCGCTGTAGCAGGTGAGCACTTGCTGAGGGCCCAGCGCTGAGCTCCAGGTCACTGACCCTCAGACTCACTGTCCCCGTGTCACAGGCGGGAAACAGCAAACACTGGCAAGGGGCAGCCTTGGGCTGAACCCGGGCCCCGTCCGCTGCAGCCTGGGTGTCCGTCCACCAGGGCGGACAGCGTCTGGGTCAAACCCCCTCCACTGACGGGGTCGTGGAAGCACCACTTCCTGCCCTGGGGACTTGGGGACACAAGACAGCTCCATGCAACCAGACGGGGTCGCCGTAGGAGCTGGGGCATTGTGCAGAGGAGGAAAACCAGGTGATGATCTGGGGACAGCGGCTTCAGGGTGGGGGGGCAGACTATGCGTGCCCGGCCTTGGCCACCAAGCCTCTGTAGGGCCACAGGGGACATGCCTGGCCCCGGGAAGACAGTCACACAAAGCAGCACTCTGGGGCCAGCCCAGGCCCAGCCACCGGATGGAGTTAAACTGCAATTTAGACAATGAAGGGCCGGTGGCTTCCTGAGCCTAATGCAATCGAACAAGCTGCTGAGCTTCGCCGGAGACGCCCGCTCGCCCCCTGGACGCGGCCTCTCATGTCCTGCCCAGTGGCCTCTGTCACACACGTCAGTGACCATTTGCCCCGCCACCCGTCAGCCGCGCCGCCCCTGTGCACAGGAACATGACTGGCCGTCCCAGAGGCGCCAGGAGCCGCGCGGGCGCTGCTGTGTTGTGCTCCTGCCCTGACCCCGCGCTTACTCGGCTCTGGTTTCTCCGTCTCCCCATTTCCTGCCTTCGTAGCCACTTCCCTCCCTCTCCTGGGCTTCTGGGCCCGCTCTCCTTCCTGGCCCCTCCTCCTGTTGCCTTCCTCCTTGCTCTTTCTGATTCCCCCCATACCTGTGGGGGTCCGGGCATCGGAGGAGGGGTGCTGCCCGGGGATGGGGCTCCTGGCTCCTCGGGCACCAGCCGCCCCGCTCCGCTCCCTGCTCTGCCGCATCGGCTCCCAGCCTCTCGGCTCCGTCTCTGACTCGGGACCTGCCCAACCTCTCGCAGTGATGGACAGAGGAGGGCTCAGGGGTCCCCTGCGGCAGGACAGGGAAAAGCGCCACCCAGGTCACAGCGCTCCTCCTGTGCCAGGAGCTCGTCTCACACGCCGGCACCCCCACGGGGCCAGCCCGGAGGAGGGAGGCCAATGCAGAAAGAAACCGAGGAGCTTCTGTTTTCAAAGGAGGAGACGTGACGGAGCCGTGTCCGGCCGCTCCCAGCCCCTGCCCTACGAGCCCCGGATGCCCCCGGAGCGCGAGCCCTTCGTTCTGGGCCGGGCATCGTGCACGTCCTCGCCCCACCTGGAACCCGAGTTCCCGTGGCTGCAGGGCCCTCACGAAACACGCTACCCATCACACCGCAGAAACCACGAGAAAGAGAATAGGCGCGCAAACACCGGGGTCAGAGGGCGTGTTTCACCGTTTCCGGGGTGCCCTCGGGACTCTGGAAGCTCCGCTGCTGGACTCGCAGAGCAGGCCGCGTGCCGGGTGCCGCCGGCTGCAGCCCAGCCCTGGCCCTGACCGCCGAGCACCGCGGCCACCACCCGCACGCTGCTCAGCTCCTCCCTGGCGGGAAACAGCTGAGAGCCAAGTGCTGATGGGCCTAATCTCAGAGACACGGTGTCCCCTTCTACCGACATGAAGAGTGAGGCTCTGCGAGGGGAAGAGCTGGCCCTGGAGGGAGGGGGACCCGGGTCCGCCCAGGGCTGCCTGAACCTCTCCTCCTCACGGCTGCGCGGGGACACCTCCTGGGGACCCCTCGCCGCCGGGCCCCACCCCAGCCGGTCCCTTCTTCCCACTGATGGGCGCCTTTCTTCCCCTTCACGGCACTGTCCACACTCCAGTTAAGGACCTAATTGGGCCATTAGCTGTTCAATGTCCCTCTTCCCTAGCAAAATGTGACCCCATTCGAACTATGCCTGTCAGGTCCCCTGGCGCGTCCCCAGAGCCCAGCATGGTGCCTGGCACCAAGTGTGCGGCCGGCAGTTGCCTGTGGGGCGAACGAGGAAGTGGGTGAATGAATGAGTGACGGAGAAACGTACAAGCCTCCAAACCGAACACTCCGGCGCCCAGCACCCCCGGGACCACCATCTGGGTCCGCATGCCGGGGGCCGGCAGAGGCGGCTGCCTCCGTCCACAGCGGCCTCGAGCGCCCAGCCCCTGGAGGGTCTTTGTCTGCCTCGAGCCGGGTCTCGATGCTGCCGATCCCCCGCCCCACCCCTCCCCCCCAGCCCCATTATGAAAGGAAAAAGCACTTCCAAAAAACTTGAACCTGTCACAGTGATGGATAACCTAAATGAACTCTCCCCGCTCGCGAACAGATGTCGAGGCTGAACTCTGTCAGAAATAATTAAACACCTTTCACATGGAAAAGCTGCAGGCAGGCGCGGACGCTCCTTGGGCTGGGTCACCGCCACCGAGCAAGCTGGCTCCTACCCCGCTCAGCCAGCCCCGGGCACCGCCCCAGCCACTGGGTAGCTCAGCCGGGCGCAGGGCCTTTACGGGGTCGTGAGCCCCAGAGGGATCGAGAAAAGGAGAAGACCCCTCCCGCACGGCAGCGCATCCTGGTGGGCCGGCCGACCCCAGCAGACGCAGGCTGCCGTCCCCCTCCGCGCTCCCCCGGTCTCTGTGACCAGTGGTTGCCATGGGTAGCCAGGGTCCAGAGAGGAGGGCCCGCAGACAGCTGGCGGGTGGCCTTTCAGCAGGACGTTGATACCGTGCCACCAGCCAGCTCAGAGAGCTGGGCCGGCCGCTGAACCTCTCTGAGCCTCAGTTTCCCGTCTGAAAATGGAGCCCCCGAGGGTGGCTGCCAACGTAAGCTTCTACGGTCCCAAGTTCATGGCTCAAGGAGCCCTGTGGGAGGGGCCGGGGGCTCTTGGGGGTGGCAGACCCCAAAGCCAGAGTGAGCTGTGAGGGAGCGGCTCCCATTCCCCTCTGGGGGGTGAGACGTGAACCCTTGGTCCCCCCCATGAGTGAAGGGGCGCTGGGCTGGGGGCAGCACCCCCCCGCCCGGTGGCGTCGGGCTCACGTGCCCTTCACCAGGCGCGCCGGGGTCTTCAGAGGAGAGCGAGCAGCCGGGGCGGGGGGGCAGCAGTGTGCCGGGTCTGCGTGCTCGGGACCCCAGGGTCAGCCAGGCCTGGGTCGCGTGGCCGCCCTGTCACTCCGCACCTGTCGGGGGCTTGGCCTGTCCAAGGCCTGCATCCTCCTCCCTGAAGCGGGACAGCAATGATGCCCCCCCACCCCCGGCAGGACGGCTGGGAGGGTCGCCGGACGCGCCTGTGTGTGAGGGTCAGCAGGTGCCAGGCCCTGTTAAGGTGCCGGGAAATGGCAGCTGCCATGAGGGTAGTCCTGGGGACCGCCCGCTCCCTCGCTCCTCCCTCCCTCACGCATCCACTCGTTCCTTCGTTCGTTCCTTCGTTCCTTCGTTCCTTCGTTCACAAATCTTACTGAGCACCTTCGCTCCAGTCCTCATTCTCAGCGCCAGCATATGCTTCTGCTTGGGGGCTGCTGGGGACAAACAGTGAGTCGGACAGACGGGCAGACGGGCGGACAGGTGACTGCACAGGCCCACGGCTCGATGGGGGAAGTCTGGAGACGCTTCCCTGCCCAGGCGTCCCGCGTTGGCAGCCTCCAGTGGTGGAGAGACACCAAGCTGAGCTGGCGACTCGGGCTGGGGGGCGGGGCGATGGTTACGGTGACCGTCCTATCAGCCCACCCCCACGACCCCGGCCCGGGCCGGCCCACCTGCTCACGGGCCTTTTGCAGAAACAACCTCGAGCTCTTCCCGGGGGGGGGGGGGGGCAGACGCCTGGCTGGCCGAGCGCAGCCCTGCTATCGGCCCGCTGGGCAGCGGAATTATTAATAGCTCCGCCTTCTGCTCTCAACAGTGACCCAGTCTGAGGCACACATCCTACAGCCACCTGATAGTAAGCCAAGGAAAGGAGATGTTTTATCCTTCCTAACAGAAGGCTCCAGTGATAACGGCCCAGACGCAAAGGGGCGAGAGCTCCACGCGTTTATGGCGGCGCCAGGAATCGTGGTGGATGGCTGGATGTTGCCCGTCAAGAATGGCTTACATACATGACCTTAACCAGATACAGAGAGGACCCCTGAGGTGGTGACATGTTGCACAGCCACATGTGCTTCAGTCTGTACTTACTGACACGCCACTAACATAGCAATGACGGAAAGAACCTGCGCTGTTTGGGTGGAGGCGGCCGTGCGCGGTCACAGGCGTGTGGGCTCAAGGGCAGGTGTCGGGAGGTGGGCCCCGCGCAGCAGCCGCAGCAGCAGTGGGCGTCCCGGGGGTGGGGTGGAGGCTGAGTCCTCCTTTCTCTGACGCTCTTTTCTGCACTGAGTTTTCACAAGGAGTTCAGCAAGGCTCTTCTTTTCAGTGTTTTTAAAGCATGGGGGCTCAGCACGCCTCCTGGGACTCGTCCCAGGTGCTTGTCCTGTTCCTCCGACGGTTCCCGAACGCTCCCGAACGCTCCCAGGCTGCCAGGCCCCCGCCTCCGGTTTCCGGTATTTGGGGTCCCGTAGGTGCAACAGCCAGAAGCTGACTCTCTGTCCCAGCGGTGACAGCAGCTGATTGGCCGAGCCCCCATCTCCACGGCCAAGTGGAGATCACTCCGCCATTGGGGGTGTTGCCCAAGCATCGCGAGGTCTCCACTTTCACCCGGCCCCCAACCACAGGGTCGAGAGATGCCCCGACATTACATAGCCACTCAGTCACTAAAGTAAGAACAAATTGACTCTCTTCGTTCGGCTTTCCGTTTCAGCCCCACTGCTTTAGAATAATGGCCCGAGCTATTAAGCTAACAGTCTGA